GCTAGGACCACATGTTATGTTATCACTGCCACACAATCATAGTCTAAGATACGGCGATCACACTAACTCTGTCTGTCTGTGTTCGGCTGACCCGTACTCTATGTTTCACTGGTCCACACGCTGACCAGTTTGACAAGTGCGCAGTCCACCCTCCTATGTTGTCTGTGTTCGATAGACCTACCTCTATGTTCTCACTGCCCACACAGTACAGTTGATTCCAGTGCGCGTCAGACTGCCCACACAGCTCACTGTTTGAGTACGCGTCCACCTACCTCTGTCTGTCTGTGTTCGTAGACCTACCTCTATGTTTCACTGCCCACACAGCTCACAGTTTGAGTGCGCGTCAACCTACCTGTGAATAGATAAACCTCTATTTTTCCCTGTCCAAACAGCTCAGAGTTTGAGAGCACGTCTCCCTACATACCTGCATGTTTCACTGTCTGTATTTCTCTATCAACAGCTCACAGTTTGAGTGTGCGTCCACCTACCTGTGACTTAACCTACCTGCATCATTATCCACACAGCTCACAGTTTGAGTGTGCGTCCACCTATCTGTGCATCCCGCGCTGGTGGCGCTGCGATGGCCAGGACGACTGCGGCGATGGATCGGACGAGCCGGCCGACTGTCCCGTCTTCAGCTGCACTCCCGGAGAGTTCCAGTGCAACAACAGCGCGTGCGTGCGGCCGCGGCAGATCTGCGACGGCGCGGACGACTGCGGAGACGGCTCGGACGAGGTCAAGTGCGGTGAGTCGCACGGGGGGTCACATGAGGGTCACGTGAGGTCACACAGGGGTCGCGTGAGGTCACACCGGGGTTGTGTAAGGTTGCGCAGTGTGCGTCGTCGTGCTTTTAATACGGACCGGTAACATTTGAGCACGGCTGGATAATTTTTACGGATTTTACTATAGGGCCATCCTTAAAATAATTCTATGTTTGCTGTCCCCTGACCCATGATTTTTTTAGTGGGTAGGTAGGTACCTAGGTATTTTTTTTTGTGAGGCATAATAGTTATTTTAAGTCTGTCCTCATGTTTGCCACACATGCTTTGTGTTTCAGTCTTAACTATGAGGAGGGTAAAAAAAAAAATGGAACCCAAAATGTCAAAAAAAACCTTTGGGTCGCGGCTGTTTTCGTGGGTCGGTCGGAGGACAGCAAACATATAATTTTTTAAGGATGGCCTAGGTGATGTTGTATAGGACTGGCTGGCTTCGGGGACTTATTTTCAAGACTTATAAGTTAGACTGACAGATAGATCTATTGTCTATAGACTACTAAGGTAGCTCATGATGGATAATGCTATACTGTGAATACGTAATACGGTAAGGGTAAAATCATTGACGAGTTGGGATACAGGACTCAGTCACGTGTGGACCAAGCTGCTGACCACCACACCATCTGGTGGTCAAAACTGATAATCATCAGTCAGCTTTGAGAAAGCCCCCTGATAGGAGGCGAAACGTCTGCTGTACGTTTCCAATCTTCACGGTTGAGTAACAATTAACCCAGTTAGATCGGTAAGGGCAAAAGCCTGTGAGAATCTCACAGCTGCTAGACCTTCAGACACGCACAACAGACCTTATCAATGATTCTTTCGATCTCTCTCCGCAGCCGAACACACGTGCTTGTCGACGCAGTTTAAGTGCGAAGGACAGAACATTTGCATCCCGCTGGCGTGGAAGTGTGACGGACATCCTCACTGCGCGAACGGCACCGACGAACTGGACTGCGGTAAGAACAATAGGTTCCGAGGAACAACCAGCTCGTGTTGTGATTTTAAACATGTGTCGTATTAAAGTGATTACAACACCGTAAATAGTAAAAGTAAAAAAAAAATTATTCCCACTTTTCCACAAAATGTAAGTAATTCTGTTCACTTTTTATGGTTAAATTGCTGCATTATACTTATTAGACAAGACGAAATCGGCGGGGATACTATGGTTTCATATCTCCCCAGCCGCCGCCGCCGCAGACAATTTACCTTCCGCTCTATAACTCGACCCCTAATTGACTTAGCGCTACCAAACTTGGTATACTTACACATCTTGGGGAGAAGGTGAGCAGCGTACCAAAATCTGGTCACTGTGACCTTTATTTGACCTTTACCTTGACCTTGATTATATTTCCCTTCCACTCTATAACTCGGCCCCTAATTGACCTGGCGTGACCAAACTTGGTATACTTACACATCTTATAGCTTAGTTAGAAGGTGTGTCGCGTACCGAAACCAGGTCACTGCAACCTTTATTTGACCTTGACCTTGACCTTTATTATATTTTCCTTCTGCTCTATAACTCGGCCCCTAATTGACCTAGCGCGACCAAACTTCGTATACTTACACATCTTGGGGCGAACACGGGGGATACATGTAGTTGGCGACAACTTCCCTTTCTAGTTTACTATATTGTTCGATGTAAACATACACTCGTGACTCATACATAGCCCATAGCAAGCAATTAATGTCAGGATCATAATGTCAAATCGTCCAGGTTTTTTGGATTTTTAACTAGTTGAGAAACAATCTTATATCAGGTAAGAATTTGACGATACGTTTAGTCCCGTTAGTACTTACTTATAATGTAAAAAAATGGCAACAAAAATTTTACAAATATATACCATAGAAAATTTGTGACGTAGTCAATTTAAATTGTAATTAAATTCTTCGTTGTGGGTATGCTGGGACAGACATGGTGGGCCTTTCGAAGCAGTTCGGGTGTGTGACGACAGCAGGCAGTTTTCTTGTTGCCCTTAGAAGTAGCTATTTATACAGCGCTGGTCATATTACTCTATCGTGTTAAGTAACATGGCAATGTTACCTGGGCTACTATCTATTTCTCCACCAATTCCTCGCTATTATATATCGTATTTATTACATATATATATATATAATATATATATACATATTTTATATATTATGTATTATTACATATATATGCATCTTTCTCCCCTCACGGGCCCAGAGATGACTTGCACCTGATCTATATATTCTTCGTTACTAATATATCGTATTACATTCTTTCTTCACGCATGCAGAAATGACAACGCACGCACACGCACGCACACATGCTTGCATGCACGTGCGCACACACATAGAGATAACGTGCACTTGCCCTGTATATTCTTCGTTACTGATATATGGTATTACTTTCTCCTTTATGCGCGCAGAGAAAATTGAGATGATGTGCACTCGACCTGTATATTCTTTATTTCTAATATATCGTACCTACATGTACTACTATGCATCAATATATATATATATCTATAAACCGTAAACAGGGTTAATTTTTATTTTTATTTTTTTTACTTAATTGTGAAGAATAGAAACGTACCGCTGACGTTTCGCCTCCTGCCAGGAGGCTTTCTCAAAGCAAACTGATGATCAGTTATCAACTATATATATAATATATCGTCTTACGTTCTCCGTTCACACATGCAGAGATGACGTGCTCGCCCAAGCAGTTCCGCTGCGACAGCGGGCAGTGCATACCGAACGTGTGGGTGTGCGACAACGACAACGACTGCATGGAGGACGGGGCGGACGAACGAGCGAACTGCACGGACCGGCAGTGCCCCGACGATTACCAGAAGTGTCCCGATACCGGACGCTGCATCCCGCTGTCGTGGGTTTGCGACGGCGACGAGGATTGTGCAGGTGAGAGAGAGAGAGGGAGGAGAGGAGAGAGAGAGAGGGGGAGAGAGAGACGGGGGGGAGAAGAGAGAGGCAAAGGAGAGCGAGGGGGAGAGAGAGAGGCAAAGGAGCAGTGGAGCGGGAGGAGAGAGGGAGAAGAGAGAGGAGGGAGAGCGGAGAGAGCAAGAGGGGCGTGAGAGAGGAGAGGGTGCGAGAGAGGGAGAGAGAAGCAGAGCGATTGCGTGAGAGAGAGGAGGGAGAGGAAGCAGAGAAGGGAGGTGAGGAGGAGAGGTGGGGAGAGGGAGAGAGAGCAGAGAGGGATGCGTGAGAGAGGTATGGTGCACGGGAGACATGCCCCCCCGGGCCCGGGGGACGGGGGGAGAGAGAGAAAAGATGATCGTGACGAGAGTAGAGGCGAGAACGACGAAGAGAGAGGGATGGGCTGAGAAGGTAGGAGGGGAAGAGAGCAGAGAGAGGCATGGTGAGAGAGGGTAGAGGGCCGGAGAGAGAGGAGGGGGAGGAGGGGAGAGAGGAGGTGGGGGAAGAGAGAGAGAGAGAGAGCGAGAGAGATGGTGAGAAAGGGGGGAGTGGTTGAGTGGGAGAGAGTGTGTGGGTGAGAAACTGTGGGGCAAACAGGAGCGTTTGATTTCGCACGCAGCATGTTCAAGAATACTCTGGGATGGAGGCATTTGATTTTGGGTGTGGAGGTTTTGAAAGGCATTTAATTTCGTGAAGTTTCGTTCTGTATTTAATGTATGGAATAGGACCATAGCTAACTCAGTTTGCCTGTGGGGATGGGTAAAGCCTGGCTATTCGCCATTGACCATGTAATAATATCAGCATAAAGGGGGGCTTATGTCGGGCTTGCGCAATTGACTGGAAGCAACTGGATTTCGAGCAACTGGAAGCGATCGGCAGCGACTAGTTGCGTCAGGTTGCCCACTGTTCTATTCCGAGCAACTAGTGGCGGCCAGTCGCAGGCAGTCGCGTCGCAGTCGACCGACCTAAGCACTGCAGTCGCAGTGAATTGCAGCCAGTTGCTTCCAGTCGAGTCGGCTCGCAAGGTCGACATAAGGCCCTCTTTAGGTTCAGGTTGGGTGTGGGAAACTTCCGTGCTTGCCCCTCGCCCTCTTTTACCCTGTGAGCTACGATCTTGGAGTAAATGTTCTTGTTGTTTGCAGATAACCTGTCGACTGGTAAGCGGAAATCAAAATTTTAAACGAGCAAATGCCACTTATTATCCGACTTCTGAAGCTCGCATGTCCCCCTCTCTCACCGTATCTCGCTCGCTCCAAGGAGCTAAATATAACAAGGAGAGGAAGTGCCGCCATATCTGGCCCAAATTTGGGTTCGGCAGAGACCCTAGAACAGATTAGTGTTCTATTGTCTCTGGGTTCGGTCTGCACAGCCGTTTCAGCTGATTATGGTCCATAGATGGCGCCCTTGAGGCGAAAACGGTCTGCACAGCCGTTTCAGCTGATTATGGTCCATAGATGGCGCCCTTGAGGCAAAAAAGCACACAGCCAATCTGATTCCATTCCTTGTTATATTTAGCTCCTTAGCTCGCTCACGCGTGATCACAGGCTTGTCCACTCGCGTGCATATTTCCCCATTTATATATATACACATAGCTGCATATCGTCGTGCCACATGCAGAGATGCCAACCACTACGATTTATCCGTATTTTATACGAATTTCTATTCCTTTGCACCACTACGACCAGTTTGTATCAAACTACGAATTTCACTGTGATCGAAAAAAAAAAAATTTTATTATTGTCATTTTTTGTCAATTTATTGTCATTTTTGACCCTCAGAATGCAGGAAATTGCATCTCAGAATCAAAAAATTTTCGGGGAGGGGGGGCATGCCGGACCCCCTAGCAAACTCGGGTCACTAGGTGACTCTTGAACTACTAATTTGATGGCCAGAAACTACAGATAGCTTCAAATACGTGTTGGCATCTCTGCACATGTCTACACGCATTACACGTGGCTCACACACTCCTTGGTTAGGCCTAAAAAAAGATGTATGTTTCCGCTAACGAGCTTCTTTTTTTGTATTCTAACAATACTTGTTTTATACTTATAACCGCCCATATAATGACTTTAAAGTAAAATCAATGCATTCACCGATCGATATCACGTTGGGTTTTTTTTTCTTTTTTTTCCAATCACAATAAAACGTTTGTGTATCGACACGGTGGTTTAAAATGGACTCGGTCGAGTTAGCGGAAACAACGTCTTTTTTTAGGCCTTAATTGCCTTGTTACTTTAGGAATGAGGATTTTTACATTATGTTACACCGTTACGTTCGTAATTTTTATCGGCATTGTATGGTATTGTATGGTTGGTTATTACTTGGTCCTCGTGGGTTTCACTCTCACTCTCTCTCTCTCTCTCTCTCTCTCTCTCTCTCTCTCTCGTTCTCTCTCTNACGCGTCTACTAAAATATTAGTGTATAGTAATAATACGTATAATAATAGAATATTAATTAAACATACGCGTCTACTAAAATATTAGTGTATAGTAATAATACGTATAATAATAGAATATTAATTAAACATACGCGTCTACTAAAATATTAGTGTATAGTAATAATACATAATAATAGAATATTAATTAAACATACGCGTCTACTAATGTATCGTAATAATACATAATAATAGAATATTAATTAAATATACTCTGCAGGTGGGGAGGCTGGGCACGATCAAAGAGCTGCAGGGCTTGGCCGTGGACTGGGTAGCGCAGCGAGTCTACTGGCTCGACTCCGGTAACGAGGTCATACAGTCGGCATCGATCGAGGGCTCGGATCGCATCGTCGTCGTCCACGAGAACGTGCACAAGCCGCAGGACATCGCCGTCGATCCGAAACGAGGGTATGTGCCGTGAGCGTGCGAACATTCCTGACCCAAGTCTGAACCCTGTCCCAAGTTCTAAAACACTAATTCTAAGGCGGTGTTAGCGCGCGCGGCATTGAAATCAGTCTTATCGTTCGTCCTAAAACTAGTACTAATGCCGCGTAAAGTCTGTTATTAGAGAAGCTTGTGGATTACCAGTCAGATAGTAACACGGGAATGACAATGACAGAAAGTGCTCTGAATTATTGACATAAAAACTCAATAATATTTACCACACAGAATTGCACGCCCTTTTGTTTTAATTATGCACTGGGTTTGAAGGCGCCATTTGTGATTTTGAGAGTCGGCATACGATAAAATTTATTGTTGGTATGATGTGGTCAAATCCATTTTTCTATGCTATAACTGCATAAAATCTTGGTGTAATCGGGGATATTTCCGCTGTCAGGTGAGACTATATTCACCTATATTTAGTTTTTCTGAGCAAAAATCTCGCAATAGTTAGTTGAAAGTCTAAATACTGTCCCAAGGTCTAAACACTGTCCCAAGGTCTAAGCCTTCTCCCAAAGTCTAAAATCTGTCCCAAAGTCTAAACACTGTTGCCTGTTGTCAGAAACAAAATTACTCTTATCATTAGTCTAGGACACACCATGCGAATTTTTTCGCACGTCCGCGGCGATCATATCCGCAGCGAAAATCGCGGCAAAAATATTCGCACCCGCATGCGATAATTGAGCGGAAACACCATGCAAATTTATTTGAACGTCCGCAGCATACACACTACACACGATCTACTGGCGCCATCAACACCATTTTTAATTTTAACTTCATAAAAATTCAGGAAAAGTACGTCAAAAATACACAGAAGTGACGGAACTGCAGATAAATATCGCGGGGTATATCTATGTAATGTAAAGGGTTTTACCCTATTCTCATGCGTACTGAAACTCGGTGACAGTGGTTCATAGAAAATGACAATTCAATGAAATATTTCCTCCAAAAACATCTCAGTTCTCACGTGTGTGTCTAACAACCGCATCGACATGCGGTCCATTTCTAACGACGCTAACGACCTCATCCCCCTCTTCACAGGTATATGTACTGGGCAGATTCCAGACCTCTATATATTACGTATGAGAATCTATTTAGGTCTGTATTTATAAAGATGAGTCTGCGTCTAACAACCTCATCCAACCCTTCGCAGGTACATCTACTGGACGGACGCCGGGCGGGTGCCTAAGATCGAGCGAGCGTCTGGGACGGCTCTTTGGTTTCTTGGCCGATTTTATTTATCCGGTCAGTTGCTTGGTCAATGTACGAACCTGGAGTGATCGATTTTCTCTCTTAGCGGCAGTGGCCGTCGGGCATCGCGATCGTTAGCCCCCTTACGCGGCAACAGCGCGGTCTGTACTGGGCCGACCCGAAGGCGAGCGTCATCGAGACGACGTTGCTCGACGGGAGCGATCGCCAGATCGTGCGCAAGTTCCCTGCTTGTAAGTTTCCGTTCTTTTATCCGTTTTTTTTCCGTTCTCCTACGCTGTACTAGTTTTGGCGCAGGCCCGTGTCTGGGTGTGTAAGTCTCGTCCATTTACTGTTCCCGCAAGTTTCATGCCTGTAAGTCCCGTTGTTAAACTGTTCCCGCAAGTTTCCTGCTTTGTTGAAATTAAGTTTTCAACCACGACAAGTTGATAAATATTTACTGCTTCTGCAATGAGTTCTCTGCTTGTAAGTCTCTTAGCTCTTTTTTATCATGTTTACCTACGGATGTCTATTCTATCAAGCCTGTACTGCTAGGTGTAGTTTGACGATTAAACTAACGTTCTCTTGTTTTCTTGGTTCTCTTGTTTACTACGACAGCGACAATAAGCGCCGTGTACAAGTGGATGTGCTTTGAGGACACTCTGCTACGTAGCAGCCTACCACCCGTGCCGAGCAATCCGTCGCTCTTACAGCTTAGCACAAGTCGGCACTGGTGAGCTCGAGACGTGGACTACCTCGCCGCGAACCTGCGCTGGCACGGCGTGATCTTCGTCATGGTGCAGGGCAGAACAAGTCAGGAGAACGAACCGTGAGTACCGCGGGCGCGTTTTCTTCGTCACGTTCCCGAGTTGCGCTGCATTTGTTCGTTACGTTCGCGGGGAGTTGTCGCGCCTTGCCGATTGTTCGTACCGCTCCCTCCGAGTTGGCGCTGCGAATATTTGCTACGTTTCCTTGAGTTGCGCCTGCGTTGTTTGCGCCGTTCCCCGAGGTTGTGTCCGGCATTTGTTACGGTACGGTTCTCTGCGCATTGTAGCCACGACACTTGCACCTGTTTTCGTATGTTCCCGAGCCCCTGCACTTGTTTGTAACGTATTTCCCCCGAGTTGCCCGCACTGCACTTTGTTCGTACATTCGTAAATCCATGGTGTATAGTTTGGCCGCCGGTGGGTAATTGTCTCGCGCGTTACCTTCCCGAGTTGCGCCTTGCCCTATGTCTCGTACGTTCCCGCCGGAGTTCAGTGCTCGCGCAATGCACATTTGGTGTCGTTACGTTCCCCGAGTTGCCGCCTGCATGTTCGTTACGTTTCCCCCGAAGTGCTGCCTGCCATTGATTGTACGTATCCCGAGGGTTGCGCCTGCATTGTTCGTACGTCGCGAGTATGCTACGCTGGCACTGTTAGTAGCGTGTCCCTGGTAGGACCAGGACATAGTTCTACTAGCCGTTACTGATATTGCTACAGCCTGGCGCTCCGGGGCATTGTTGTACCGCTCTGCACCGAGTTTCGCTGCGTTGTGCCGTAGGTCCTCCGAGTTTCAAACCCCTGGAGTTGCCGCCTGCGTTGGTCGTGCTTTCATACGGCGCGAGGTTCCCGCGACTGTTGCCCACCTGAGCATTGTTCGTACTGTTCCCTTGTAGTTCTGAAATTGAAGCAATGACTTTGGGGCGTCTGCCTCCTGGGCAATGATTCGTTTCGCATCACGTTCCATGACGCTAGCCGAGTTCGCGCAAAACACTGCGCATTGTTTCGTCACGTGCCTATCGGTGAAGTTGCCAACTGTCTATCATATGTTCGTACGTGTTGCTTTCTACACCGAGTTAGACGCTTGCTGCATTTTCGTAGCGTTCCTCCCGACGTTCGCGCCTGCCATTAATTGTTTCGCCTACGTTCCCGAGTTGGCGCCTGCTCATTGGTTCGCTCCACGTTCCTCCCGGGTCTCTCGGCCGCCCCCGGATTTTGAAGTGCGATACGGTTCTATGAATGTCTTGATATTTCTATGTGGTATGTCGAATTGTCTCCGCGCGGTTTTTACAGACCGATTATGATTGCCACTTGCATTGTTACGTCAAAAGTATCCGCTGTTGTGTATGCCGGCCTTCAATTGTCGCAATTTGTCTTGGGTACGATTTCACCTATTGCTATGATCTTTGGGCCGCCAAACATCGTGGATCATGCATTGTTCGTTTACGTTCCTCAGTTAAGTTTCGACGTATCATTATTGTTTGTTCTGTACGTTCACTGCTGTAAATTCAGTATCTTTTTGCTGCTTCCTCTAAGAAGTCTGAACAATGATATGCTATCGTACCGGTTCCCCGATGTTGCTGCCACGCTGGCCATTGTTTGGATACGTTGACCATGAGTAGAATTGGTGCGCCTGCAGTTGTTCTTACGTTCCTCCGAGTTGCGCCTGCGATTAATTTTCGCTACGTATCCCCGGAGTTGCACCTGCATTGTTTCGTACGTTCCGCTGAGTCTTGCGCCGGCAGATGTGTTCGCTGACGTTCCCACGAGTTGCGCCTGCATTGTTTCGTACAGTATCCGCCGAGTTGCCGCCCTTGCATTAATTGTTTCGACGTTCCCCGAGTGGCGCCTCAGCATATCTTGCACAGTTTTTCTACAGAGGCTCCTATCGCAAGTGGAGACGAATTCCTTCTCCTCTGATTAGTGCACCTGCAATTAGGTAATTTAAGTACGTTCCCGGAGCCTTGCCAGGCGCTGGCACCAACGACACTTGCATATTCGGTCTCGCACGACTCTCTGTTTCGTCGTAGTACGTTTTTTCCTGAGTGCCAAGCGCCACCTGCTTACTTACGTTTCGTACGG